GTATTCACAGAACATGTGCGTTTTGAAGCATACGGGCATTTCCACCCACTGATCTCAAAAAATACACAGTGTAACTGAAAAAGATTCAGAAAATGAAATAAGGATAACCAAGACCGTCTGAGAGTCCTGGCTCTGTCATCCCAAAGCCTTGCATTAATTCTCCTGCCGGTCTCCTCACAGGTCCTGCTACATCACCTTGTTTCCCAGTGCTGTGGGAGCTGCTGCACCCAAGTGTTGAGCACTGCTGGCAGGTGCACAAAGGCTGTATTGCTCTGGAACAAGTCTTCATAAATTGTATCCTTTAGAAAAGCATCCCTATTTTCAACACAGTCACGACTGCAGCTTTTAAAAGCCGTTTACACAGCTTGAATAAGAGAAGTGTCATGGCTGGTAATGAAGTCAGATTTGCTCTAAGATGTGAGGCACATCCTGCTCTACTACCTACCAACCAGAGTATTTATTTTGTCATCTTCTAGATAGCCTCAGTAGCCCCCAAGAAAATAAGAGAAAAATCAACGTAATGCTGAAAAGAAAAACAACATGGTATAAGGCACTATACAAACATGTCTTACTGTCCATAATATTTTTCTTGTTCAGGATGGCCTCTACCACTTAGTATTTAAAAGAATGCACTTTCTTTTAATATGGCAAAGCAAGGAAAGTTGACTGCAAAGAAAAGAGGTTTCATCTCAGCTCTAATAACATCAGGATTCAAATAAATCCTGTGTTCTTTCCCTCTCAGTTGACTTAGCTCGTTTCTCACAAGAGTAGTAGCAGAAATGCTCAGTGCACCACTCAAGCTATGCTGAGGAGGAATAAGTCATTACATACCCCTCATCCCGCACCTTCCAAAGGGAGCGAACACAGCATCTTGTCTGGAGAAGGAAGCATGGAGCAGAACAACACACAGTTACAGCGGCACCGATCAAAGCAGACAGCTATCCCCCCAGCCCCCCAGAATTTCAGCCTGGTGTTTGAGAGGAGTGTGCTACATCCATAAGTTAAAGAGAAGTTTTAATTTTACTAGGGAATTTCATCGGTGCAAAGGAGCTCATGGTTGATTTATGTTCTGAAGCCCAAAACTCATGCTGTCATCTTTGACAACTGGCTTCTGAGACCTAAATATATGCAGGAACATTGCTTTACCTTCCCAGTGTGACACGGAGAAGTGTATTTTAACCACCCATTTCTTAATCCTATTGTGAACCAAGACAGACGAAGGTGGAGGCCGAGCTGTACTGCAGCAGACGACCTCAGACAAAGTGAGGGTAATGTCCTCCTGCCCGTGGGTAACAACTCTGCCACAGCACTCAGCACAACTGCTTGGTTTATTTGTTGAAGACACATTCTGATTTTCACCATACACGAACCACCTGACAATGTGCTTTGACATACTGCGTACCCCTGCTTTTGACCCGTTCCCCAATATAAAGGTACATTTTGCTTTGTAAGAACTCCCTCCCGCCTATCCATGACACGTCAGTATTTCAGACTGAACACAGCCTATGGCTCTCTGTGTCCCAAAGGTGATTTATTTTTCTTTATGCCTTACCCTGACAGCTGAAACATGGCACTCTGGCAGGTAGTGAGATGAGCAGTCCTAGTCTCACCTTGCATACAACCAGGCCGCTAAAAACCTGTCTCATAACTCACTACCAGCTCTTCTCTTCCAGGAGCAGCAAAGGTGAAAACTATAGGGGACAGGAGAGTTGAGTGCCTGAGAGGGTAAAACAAGAAGGTACTGTATGTACTCTGGCATCTGGCTGCCTCATGAAGATCCACCACAGCCACTCGCTCTGGTGTAACTGTAAGAAATTAAGTACAGAGGCAATAAAATTGCCCAGTGAGGAGGAGCAGCTCTGCTTGCGTTCACTACAGACCCCGCAGCAGCTGACATACGGGACGTACTTCCCAGGCAGCAGTTGGTGGCACGCACAGACTGGGAGAGATTTACCTACAGATGCGGTATACGGCCAGCCAGCTTGCAGGATTTAAGCCGAGATGTAAATAGAGAAAGGACGGGATTTGATTGTCACTCCCATCACACCTTGCCAGTGCAGGTGAAACCCAGGCAGCTGAAGGCTCCACTGAACCCCTCTTAGTCCAGAAGCAGCTCCATACATCTGCAGCTCCACAGATTCATTTGCCCAGAAATGCCATCTGCTTTAGCAAACAAGCACATTGTTTTTCCAAGGGAAGCTTAAGGAGAAAGCCATTTCCCCGCATAACCTGGTAATAATGCCTTGGTGTGACACTAAGTGGTAGGTTCATTAATAATTAAGAGTTTCTCACAGAAAGGAACACAACCCTTGAGGGCAGGTGTTCTCAAACAGAAGGAACACACTTGATAACACTACTGACCAAAACGACTTTTCTAATTTACTGATAATTTTTTATTTACTAATCACTAAAAGTTCATGACTTTCAGTGCATTAAAACCTATGAAAATGGCCTTTACGCTAAAGGTCAAAATGCCACTCCTAAGAAAAATCATCAGTACCAGGCAACAAAAGGGATTGTTGCCTTAAAGGGTAATGAAGTTTGGCAAAAAATACCCCCCCCGCATTCCAGCTTGTCCTCAGATATAAAAGGGCTGGGGGCAGCTAGGCTTAGATTCCAAGTGATGTCCAATTCAACACTACAATTCCGGTCACATTCAATATACATTGAAATATCACGATTTTGGATGCACAAATAGCGTAATGTACTTTCAATCTAGTCGTGTTCAACAAACTATCACGGCTAGATTTTAATGAACAGTACAGTTTATTAAAACAACAGAAGCGCAGGTTCTTTTGGATTGCCAGCGATAAATACACTGTCTGCAAAGCATGTGCAAGTAACAAGAATATGAATAACACAGTTGACTACAAATGCATTAAATTATGGAAAAACTCTAGAGATTTCTAATTTTCCTGGAGAAGCACTCGGTATAACCGAGGGTTCGAATCTTACCCAATAGGCACCCCTATGGAGGGGAAGAGAGGTTCAGACCGTCGACCGATCCCAGAAGTCAGCGATGTCCTCCCGACTTGTCTACAATGGTGTCTTCCCTAGCATTCCTCCTCTTAAGCCCTTTTATACTATTTTCTTATTTTTAGGTGGAACTTGAATGACTCTAGTCATACATACCTTTATTATGATTGGTATAAAATCTCCTCGCTTACTTTTAAAGGTATACACTAGAAAAAATTCAGAGTGGATGCTTAGTGAGGGGTGGTCACACCTTGAAGGCGGGTAGCCACCAAGCTCCCCTGGTGTTGGTAACACCTAAGGTTGCAGTTATGTTGCTTAGGGAATGGAACAGATTTCATGTATATCTACCACATTCCACCCTGGAAGTTTACCTTCCCTTAAGAGGGGGACATATCAATAAGTCACCTCCAGCAATCATTCCACAGAGAAGCAAAATTCCTTTTTTTGTATTTATACTGAAACCACTATCTTCACATTGTCTGTTTTTGAGTTTTGGGTACCTTTTTCCAGCTGTTTCAGGGTAAGATTTCCTTTCCTTCTTGCCTGGGTTCCTAAACCATGGCCCCTCCTGCCTTTTCAGACATTCAGTAAGGTAGTATATAAACTTTTATATAAAATGTATACATGTATTTCTACATAAAGATCTCTCTAAAAGATACATAAAATCCCTTGCAGGTTTTGACATAGTATCATAACATTGGAGGTGTAGGCAAAGTAGCCAAAAAAAACCCTTACTGACCAAATATTTTGAGAGGATTTGTTAGAAATGAAAATATTTTAGCCAGACTATCTATAGCTTTCCTTTCAAAGGATGAATTTGGAGTCACCTTAATTCTAAGGTTTTTTTAACATTTTCTACTTTCATGGTGCTTTAAATGCTTAAAATTCTACTTAATACTTCTACTTTTGTTATTTGCATTGTGACTCCAGGGAAAGCTCCAAGCAGAGTCTGGTCCACATGAGCCTCATGCACCCATACAGTAAGAGCATGTTCTCATTCAATGACTCCCCACTGCAAACCTTCCCACCGATGGAAGGGTTTCGGCAGACCCCACCAGTTATTGCAAGTCTTTAAGCGCTTCAGAAAACCTCTCACGTGCTTCTACTTCATATCCTATGGCATTGGAAATAAGTTTTAAGTAATGTTTCATTTCAGCCAGGAAATTCTGTGCATGACTGAGGAGAATAGGAAAAAGGAAGAGATCGGATTGAAGGGTAAATTTACAGCATCAGCAGCTGCACCAACAGCTCTCCAAGAATATCCAGAGCTGCAGCCTGCTACCTCTGCCTAAAGGGAGGACTTCATGCTTCTTCACAAAGCTGTGAGTTACAAAACATACTTATTTTTAACAGAGAGAATACAATGCTATAGTGAATAGACTCTCCCCAACTCAAGGAACAATGTATGTCGCATCCTCACATACTGTTACGGCTTTTTAAAATTAATTCAGCTCGTAGCATCTAAGCAGACAAGCAGATATCTGAGCAGAATTTTGAAGGAGGAAAGAATTCAGACAACATTGGTCAAATGAATGGGTGCCAAAACTAGAGGCAGGTAAGACAGGAACTTCAGTTTATTACCAATACAGGATGTAAATATTATAATGCATTGGCTAAGAGGTGCTGATTTCCACTGTTCCTGAAACAGTAAGACACCATGACAGCAGTATCTGACAAGATACATTGCTGCCTCGGAGTGGCAAAGACATCAGGATTCAAAACAGAGACAAATCCGCTATTTCCTCTGCTTGGTACTCTTGCACTACCAAAACCACTCTTCTGTAGAAAATCCAGAATCTGGATATTCTCGAAACATCACTGAACCATCCATCTTCAGCAACCACCCAGATACAGCAGTGGAGCAAAAAACAGCACTTCACTGTATTAGCCAAGGTTGCAGATAATTTAATATTCAACAGTGTGGAATACTTAAATATTGCCTGGTTTATGAGGGAAAGAGTCCAAAACAGGACAAAAGAAAAAAGCACAGTGGCTCAAGCCCAAACCCTACGGGACCCATCAGTTCACATAACAGGCTTTAACCTCAGAGATTCTGTGCTCATTCCTAGTCAGTGTTGCATCAAAAGCATCAGAAGAGGCCAAAAGTAAAAGTTGCAATCCTCTTGGGAAAGCAGGCAGATGGCAGAGAAAACCTGGAAGAATCAAATTCACTTTCCTGGCTGGGAAGCTCAGTGTGCTGGTCTGTGACTTGTGTCAAGGCCTTAAATACACTTAATTACAGGTACCTTCTCCCCTTTGGTGCCCACAACAGTAAATCAGCACTTGTGTCAATCCATGAGCACCAATGGTAACGGCAGATTTTAAACTGTTATTGTAACAGCCTGTATTTACAAGGCAACAGATGTGATGGATAAAAACCTCCAAATCCTACAGAGATCATGTTAAAATCATAGTTCCTAAAACCAAAAATTACCTTTCCTTTTCCATCTGCTTTTCTTCCCATCTTTGTTACTGCATCCATCGCTGCTGCTGCTGCTGCTGCTGTTCTCAGAGCTCTGAGAGTCGGACTGGGCATCGCTGCTCTCCTCTGAGCCATCAGAGAGCTCCTTCAACCCGTCTGGAACGTCCTTCTGCAAATGGAAAAAACAGATATAGTTACCCACTCCACAGTAAATTCTCCCAATTAACAAAATACTTAAAAGTAGCAGTTTTCTTTATTTACCAAGCACCGATTGTGGATTTTTTTTATGCTGCAATGTCAGAACTCCTTAGCCACTGGCCTCAAACACTCATGCAGCCTTCTGTGAGCCCATATGAAATATTTAACACAATCCCAGCTGTCACATCTTTTACACTGCCCTTGCCATTACTTCAAAGGTATGCTCTTCCTTAACTTCCCCATCCCTAATCACTAACTCCAATACACTCCCCCTTTACGAGCAATCCAGTCCCTTTTTTAACTTCATGATAAAAGAAAAACAGCTCAGTGCCCCACAATCCCACATAACATTATTTTTCCAACCAGGTGCTCAGCAGCTCCCTGCCTGCCAACACAGGTCCTTGCAAAAACGGAGCTGGGAGGTGTTTCTGCGTGGGGAAACGGCAGTGGGTTCCCTGCGTTCACCTGCGTGGTTTTAGGCAGATAACAGCCAGCAGAGAAAACCGGCAGCAGTTTTCACCCTGTCCACACCTAAACCCAGACTGCCCTCTAGTGATTATCCTGCCGGATTCAGATTGTAACCTACATTGGAAATTAGCAATAACAGACTGTTTGCTGCTGAGGTCGTTAACGTCACCACCGCCCAAGCACCCAAAACAGCTCCGGACACCTCGCAGAGGTGCTGAGCCGAGAAGGGCAGGACGGCGGCTGGAGGCACCAGCTCATCCCTACCTGACACCGGCCACCCTCGTACCTGCACCTCCGCTTCTGTTCCATCACTATGGCCGAGTCATACAGCATACCTGAAACTATGTTATCATCCTGAATTCCTCATTTGTACGGTAACTGAAACTTTAAATGTTTACTGTACAAGGCAAACAGGACAGTGGTCATAACAGCTGGACAAATGAATAGGTCTGTGTGCATCAGACGGGGAAAAATCCTTCTGTTAATAGCCACTGGAAAAAGTAAATCAAAACACCTCTCCCTTCAACAGGAGACAACTGATTTATTGTCCTTTCTCTGAAATAGAGCTATGAGTAATTTCCACATGTAAGGCCAAAAAGTACTTAAGACAACACAAGTGTTATCAATGTAATTAATTCCAGATTTCTTCCATCAGCAAGGTGAACTAATAGGTTCAGATATTCAATTGTATTTTCATCCTGCACTTCAGAAATAAAGTTCTTTTAACTGCACATTAGAAGTTACTTGTAAACCACAGTGGAAGAGAAGGTATCACCAAAAGCAAAAAAAAAAAAAAAAAAATCTTTATATCAAAAATCACCAAAGCTGACAAAGCTTAAGCTTGCATATTCCAATGCTGACACTCCTTTCATTAAACCTCCTTTATAGCTTAACCTTTGGAAAGACAATTTAGTCACCTGAGATGCAGTAACTGCACATTTATTTATTTCAGTTTTTTCAAGATATCTCTTTCAAAGTCTTCTGCTGAGAGGAGATGAAGCCTCAACATGGGTTGCCTTCACCTCCTGCCAGGTTTGGGGAACACACGAGGAGCTGGAAAACCTGGACTTCTTGGCTTTTCCGGTGGGTAAAGAAGACAGAGCCAGACTCTTCTCAGTGGTGCCCAGAGAAAGGGCGAGAGGCAACAGGCACAAACTGAAACACAGAAATTCCACTTCCACATAAGGAAAAACTTCTTTACTGAAAGAATGATGAAACACTGGAACAGGTTCCCAGAGAGGCGGAAAGTCTTCATCCTTGTAGGAATTCAAAACCTGACTGGACAAGGTCCTGAGCTACCTGCTATAGTTGACCCTGCATTAAACAGTGGGTTGGACCGGATGATCTCCAGAGGTCCCTTCCCACCACCACCACCATCCTGTGATTCCAACATCCCCTTGCTTCCACAGACAACAGCCCCATTAGCTCACAAAGCCCGTACAACGTCAGCGACTCCCCTTCCAGCTAAGCCTCTTCTGACCAGTGAAAGGTTTTCACCAGCATCTTCTGATGTGGTGTCCAGTCCACACTGTGGATCCTGCATTCTCTTGAATTTTCCATGCAAGACATCAGTACAAGATCTTCATTAACACCAACTCCTCCATGCAGCTGCAGCTCACTGTATTGCAAGTTCTAATTTCAAAGAAAACGAAGAACCCGAATTGCACCCTCAACTGCAGAACTGTCTTCTCTACATTAAAATTGTTCTTCTTTCAATAAGTAAACTTACTCCTTTTAGTGAACCATACTCAATAATAAAATCTGGTCTCTTAGCTATCAGTCCCATAAATGCATCCAGTAAGATGGCGTGCACTGTGGTAAAAGTTTCACTAGTCAGACGTCTCCAAATACCAGGTCAAAAAATCTTCCTCCAGACTGGAATCTTCCAGGCTGCTGGTGAACAGCAAATTCACTACATAGCATGGAAAAATTCAAAGGTAAATGCACAAGGGCAGAACTACAACATGATCATCCAAATAGGGACAGATGCTATTTTGTGTTGAACATTAGCAATGAATTTGGGACCAAGAAATCTGAAGCTGGCAGGCAGAAACACACTTGGAAATCATCAAGCATAAAAACACAGTTGGGATGGGAGGTCTATGTGAAGGTCAATGAACCAGCATACTGGACTTCCAAATAATGCACCCTGCAGCAACTCAGCATGGCTGGTGGTCACTGGGATAACGGCAAACCTCAGCGCAAGCAGGGGCCGCATGGTTACTGCTGTGCCATGCGACGGGGAGCTCATGGGCTGCGCCAAGAGCAAGTGTGGCTGAAGGAGGGGGACAGGAAGCATCTGCAGCTGCCCCACATCCTTCCTCAGGCAAAAACATCCCCAATGTTCCCACCTTGATGGCAGTGATGCAGAGGAATCCAAAAGAGAAAAAAGTCTAAGACAAATATATACAATGTATGTGCACCTCACATAATGGTTTTGTTTAGATTTTTCTACTTTTTACTTCTTTGATCTTTTCTTTCTCAGCCTCCTGCCAAAATGACTCCAGTTTCTCAGCGTTAGCGCATCAACTTTCAGTCTAAATCCTACAAGTGTACATGGAAGGTGAGAGCGTTGACCTCACTAATATTTGCCAGTCATCATTTTTTTCAAACCAAAGTATGGAGGAAGCAATAAATAAAAACACATAGAGACACAAACCAGATAAGCAGGGGGTACCAGCAACAACGCCGAAGACCAAGAGGCTCCAGTCACTAACTGATGGGCCACCAGGACCCTCCACCAGCATAGCTCCGGAGAAGGCCAACATGAACTTTATCAGTAATACAATGGGGGAAACAGGAAAATGAGGATTTGGGATATTGGCGAGGGGGAGATGTGGGATAATGCAAAATTTATACAGGAAAGTTGGGAAGGGGATGGAGGAGGATCCAAGTTGGGGAATAGACAGAAAGGGGTATGGAAAGGGGCCAGTGGCATGTAGCCAGCAGCAGGTCAGGACATGTGTCCGACCGAGCCCTGCCCTGGTCACCACTGTCTGCCCTGTCCTGTCCCACTCATACCCCACTTCTTCTCCTGCCTGCTCCGCTCATTTGCCCTGATCTGGATTTGCCAGGAATGACAAGTTTTGCCCAACTGCCAATTTTCCTCCCTCTCCGGGAGTATTTCACTGTCCATTACACACTAAATGCCTCTAATCTTTTCCTTAAGACCATCTTTGCCATGCACTCTACTAGAAATCCCTGCCTTAGGCATACTTTGCCTTCTATTTAAGAAAATGACATTCATTTTCTCTATTTATCTGTTGAACCTCAATATGTCAAGTGTTCTCTTAAAATGTGAATCCTTCCAGGCACAGCTGAGCCTTGGCATGTACCTGTACAGCCTGAAGCAAAATCAGACCCTCAAAGCTCACCCCACACACACAGCCTTTGCAAACCATGAAAAATACCAATTACAAGAAACTCAAATACCAGAAGTTACCAAAAATTCAGCACTTTTGCTACAAGTATTTAAAAGTCATGGTAATTTGTTTTATTCTGTAGTATTTAGGACTACTTGGAGTTAATTTTCCCCAGGGGTCCAAGCAGACTGTTCAGGCTGTATGAGAAGCAACCAACATATCCTCGCTCGGGCAAACGCAACTTGCTGCAAGATTTAGAGTTGCTGCAGCAGAGCATAGCTGGCTGATTTGGGGTATTATACATCCCTTCAGCACCAGAGCAAGTCTGGAGGATCTAATCATTTTTAGAGATTAAATGTTATTCTTTGCTTCCCCCTCCCCATGCAAAGCTTGGCTATCGTCTCTAAAACACTGAAACAGTCATTTTGGGATTCAGTTTGCTCTTTGTATCATTACTGTCAAGCCTGAGTGTGTCCGAAGTTGTACACCTCCCATAACCACCCTGCTTGCTGCTGTCAAAAATACACAGCACCTAGCAAAAGGGAAGCCTGTCCATCAGCTCGGGACCCGACCTCCCAAGTCCTTAAACAAACCTTTGCAGCTTAGTTAAGAAAGCAGTCATGTTTCTTGAGAGCCATAAACCATGTCTTGTATGCTCTGCTTTGGGAGAGCACCTGTTCACCACCACGAACAGACTCATCACTGGGGCATGGAGTGCTCGATGCACTGCAGATCACTTCTGACTACTATAATTAGACAAGGCTTGGGAAAAGGAGACAACTAGGTACTTGATAACAAAGCTGGAAACAAAGGGACAAAAAAAGAGCAACAGTAAAATCACGTTAACAAAAACTAACGTGAAATGTAGTTCAATTGCTAGCTGCAATTAAGAATTCACCTCTGGAGTGTCTCCTGGCCACCAGCACTAAGCAAGCACCTTCAGAAACACCTAATCCTTTGAACGTTATTTCACAGAACTGACATAATTCTTAGTTATAATTCTCTAATCTGTTTTACATATCTTTATCATCAAGTCTAAGAAAAATAATAATTTCAGTAAGATCCCAGCAGCCTACCAGTCTCCTTACTACTCAGTAAGGGTGTGATACCATAATCCAGTTCAGTGAGCCAGCAAAAATGCAAGTGCAACTTTGCTTCACTCACCATAAGCTTCTTCTTTTATGAAGCGTGATTTACTGAGCACCTGGCTCTCCTTCACTCCACTGTGGTGTAACAACACATCACATGGGGAATGGTCAGCCCCATTCTTCAAAGCTTTCTATTTCTAACTGCTACCTAAACCATCATGTTTTGTTAATCCTGGATTCTCCAAAGGATTTCTCATTCAGTGCACCATCACAGTTTCCAGGCTCCTCTTGGCAACTGTGCTGGGACTACACATGGCAAAGGGGACCTAGGCTGGTGCAGCAGGGCTGAACCTCTCCCTTTCCTGCAATACTGGGTTTCTCGATGCTCCATGGAAGTTACCACCTCCAGACTACACAACTCTAAGGAAGGAAAGATGACAACAAAACCGCAGTGTCTTCAGATACACAGGACACAATATGCCTTTGGAATAACTCAGCAGCTAGTATGGCCTCCTAATTAATACAAATTGTTACACTTCACCAACTTACTCCTACATTGAGTTAAATAATATTGGAGTTTTGCTAAAGCTTAATATTAAGATAATCAGTTTTAACTTGCAGATCTCATGAGGAAAACAAAGTAACTCTGACAGTCTGTTTTGCTGCTCAAATGCATAGTTAGGCTTGACTTTGCTTACATGACTTACTCCACTTACAATGTGCTCGCAATCTTTCAAAAGTGACTTTTTATTTTTACATCTTAAATTATTTTGTTCTTCTCTGAAACTTTTCAGCATAGCTTTGCCACACCATGACAAATTTGCCACCAGAATTCATGGACAACTACTCAATTACTTGTCTACTACCAGATCTAAATCTTTTCCCAAGTCATAATGTTTTGATAAAACACTGTTTTCCCAATCTGTATGATTTATTCCTAAAACATAAAACTTCACACTTTTCTGTAGTGAAACAAATTGTGCAAGACTCATTCCAGTTTATCAGCAAACAGATAACTACCTTCCCTTCATTGTTGCTTGTATCTCTGATAGCCCTTACCTTAAACTTATGTGTTATCAAAATAGTGGTTTATGTACTTTTACTTAGATGCAGCGAAATCAGGTCAACCTCTGCTTGGCACAACAATGCTTAAAGTAAGAAGCTTGTCAGATGTCTTGCAATGGCATTTTTGGAAGCTCTAAAGATGTTTTACTCTGACAGCACATCAGCGCCAATGCATGGGTCCCAAAAGAACATCCTCTGTTGTCACATTATACACAAGTACTCAAGGAATAATGTGCTTTTCCAGTTTACAGGGCAGAGAGAGGAGATGGTGAGAATGGAATTCAACCTAGCTAAATTTTTGGCGATGACGATGAGGACATCCTTTTCAGGGCAATTCTTAGTTGATTCCATTGGTAATCTAACAGGCACTTGTAAAGCACAGACTCTCATACGTGTTGAATATTTTAGGATGAGATGAATCTCATCTTAGAAGTTATTATTTCTCTCTATTGAGCATGGAGTGAGACAAGGAAAGTGGTTCTAGCAGAGACACCTATGCTAGACAGGTCTACGTGCAGGGAGAAGAATCCTATCTTATGGCACAGTTTTCAGAGTCCAATTTACAAAAGATAAAGAGCGGGCTTCCTTCTAGTAGTTTAATTGGGGTAAAAGGTTTCAAAGAAAGATTAAAGATGCCAATCAGACAAATCAAGGAATCCACACTTTTTCCCTACAAATACTCTCTGCCTACTAGTCACAGACTGAGGATAAAGTAATTTTTGATTTCTAGATACAAGTTGAGATCAGTGAAGATGAAGTTACCCTTTTGGGGCTAAAATTTCACTGAAGTTTTAATTACTCTTTCATTTCTGGGATAGTAATTAATATCAGCAAACTCCACCACTGTGAATAAAAAGTAGCACTTTCAGTTGTACTTGCAACACCCAGGTGCTCGCTAGCAAGCATGAAGACTTAGTGTGTGCATTTGAAGGGAAAGCTTACACTACAATTCATGCCAATGAGGAATAGTCCCCTCTTCAGGATTATCCTAATCCAAGATATTTGTAAATGGATAAAAGTCACCTGAGCATTCAAACAAGATTCCCCAGCTGAGCCACTTACCTTCAGAGTGTATACTCCCATGCGCCCCGGGACCTTATAGAAAATGCCCTCTTCCCCTCGGGAGTTTGTATGTAACATAGCATTCAGGCATGCAAGAGGAGAAGTCCCACTGAAAACAAAAACACAAGGTTAATGTTTGAATGTATTTGGTCAGTGTTAATCTTCTGCTGGGAGACAATCATGGCCCCTCACCTCACCATCACCCATGCAGAGGCAGAAAGATTCCAGATTCAACTTCTATTCCCAAGGAGAATATAAGTTGAAGCTGCTGTAATAAGCAACAGTGAAACCAGTCCATGTACCCACGCTCCAGTCCCAGGGAAAAAAAGCAAACAAAGCAGCCCCCAAGTTCAGGCTCTCCAATACTTCTCTGCCAAACATCAAAACAATCACACATTTTTAAAGCTCTAGATACTCAGCATTGCCCATCTGAAACTCAGAGCAGGTTTGTTGTGAGCTAATGACTGACTGCAGAGATATTTAAAGTTGTGCTGTGGGGTTTTTTTCCAAAAAACCTCCCCACACCATACTGAAATGAGGGTTGTGGGATAAAGAATGGAAACTGATTATGCAATTTCCCTTGAAAAGTGTGGAGATCTTCAATCCCAGTCAGGAGAATGGAGGCAGAAGATCCATTTTTTCACCAGTGCTGGTGGGGGTTTCTTTGTTTGTTTTTTTTAAGCCCATCCTGCTGTAGCCAGAAGCAAAATCAGGTGGACACAGCAAGGCAGGTGACTTTTGTTCCCACTAGAGGGTCCGGCTGATCACATCCTCTACTAAATACGTGTCCTTGCTTGTAATGCTTATTGACATCAAGCACAACCCCTGCGCAGAAATTAAGCGAGAAGTTTTCACCTCCCAACACCTTGTCACAAAGGCTGGAACAGGCACCATCAAATTGACTAAAAACCTAGATTTGTGACTGATTGACTGAAATCCCTGAGCAGCTGTTTGTCTGTAGTAAATTATGCTATGAACATTCAAACTGCAAACAAAATTTATACAAAAAGAGGTAAAATAATCCCTGGGAGAAAAGGGAAATAGAGGCAAGGATGAGCACAGCCCTCTGACGATTTGGGCAGGGCACTAGGCTCAGCTGAATTACTGATGACTAGTACAAGCAGAAGCCAATATCCTCAAATAGGTCTGGTCTCCTCTGCCCCAGCACATACCAGCTAACAAGTAGGAGACCCCAGAAGGAACACTGGCCAGACACGGTGGCTCACAAACCACAGGAGAAATACCATTACGAGAGGAGGGCTAGTATTTATGTTGCTAGACCTGATCCCATCTGTGCTGACTGCTATGCAAACGTACAGCAAGAGACCAGTCGCTGTCGGAGGGACTGGTGGGGAGCCAGCAGGGCACTGTCCTGGTCCCTCCTGCCTGCAGCACCACAAACCGAGCATCCTGCAGGCTGCTCGCTCCTCCAGTTGAGAAACAGGCTTAGAGAAGTACTGGAGCTCCTGTGGGAGCTGTGTGGTTGTGCTGAGACGCCCCAGGGCTCGGGCACGAGCCTGAGCAGGGGCGCACAGTCGTCCCCCACCAGCAGAGATCTCTGTGGGGTTGCAGCCTGCAGTGAGACCAGATGACTTCCTTCAAACCTATATGCAAAAGGTCAGAAAACAGCCTCTACGGTGTTAATGAATACGATGGTGCAGGGGTGCTGCTGCCCTGTGGTTTTCAGTCTCCCAATCAGTGCCTCGGCGCACACTTTGCATCAACAGATGCTGCCCATTGCAGTTCTCTCCAGTGAGTGTCAAAATGGATGCGACACAGCTGAGAGGATGCCTGTCCAAACCACATGTTCACCAAACTGCGCTTACTCATCTCTGCTCTGCAGGATCTTGCGCTTTCTGAGGTTTTGTGAGCATCATTTGTTAATATATACCAGCGAAAACAGTGATGAGGAGGGAATTTTCTAAACCCCAGCCCAAAGCTCATCTGACTGCGTTAGCAGACGGCTCAGCCTGATGCTCAAGCAAAAAACACCAGTGCTAGAGAAAGCAACTGAGCCTCAGGCACACCAGGGACCACCCACTCATCATGTTTTGGTTCTTACATGGCAAAACTCGGTTCCATTTGGGTACTCTTACACTGACCCAGTGACTTCTCTGGCTAACAAATGTCTTTTGGAGAGACAGCCAACTGCGATACAACAGAGAAATCAGTAATGTGAGCACCTCACTTTGATCCCTGCCAAGAATTCATGCTTGTCTTCAGACACAGCATATCTAGGTTGATGTTCCAGCCAGAATCCCTATTGCTGAATATAAGCTTCTCCTAAATATATTTGCACGCCATAGAAAACCTCTTCCTTGACTAACCCCACCAAAACCAGCTCCTGGCTCATCACTCCCTGCCACTGCCATGGCTTTTCTGTGCACCTTCCCCAATGGTGAAGCAACTGCTGCAAACAGGAGCACCACAACTGGAAACAACTCTTCTCACACCAGCTTCACCAAGGGTATGTGCCAACTTCACAGGGCTAATCCTCTTCTTCAAAAAGCCACAGGGTCTCCCTGGAAGCTACAATTCAGTGTGATTTCCTACAGCAACCCCAAATTCTTTTCAAAGGCACTGCTCTCCAGGGTACATGCTTCCCCTCTTCTCATCTTTGCTCCTGGATGCGATTTCTACATGCAAGTACTATGCAAGAACTGCATGCAAGTATATTTTATACGGGCCCAGCTGTATCTGGCAGTATAAACAATATACCTGCCCTTCTCCCATCACTGTTGATCATCACCCCTCCTATCACTGCATCTAGGAAATTATCAGAAGTAATTTTATACTTTTTTCCAGATCACTAATAGCATGTTGAATAGCAGTGAATGCACCGAAGCATTCCCATGTTCAGGAAGCTCTGGGGCAGCGAGGAGAGCTCTGCCACATACCTGACCTTTAGCTCATGAAGTACATTCTTTTTAAAAACAGTATCAGAGCAGAATATCAATGTTAAGCCAAGCATTTTACAAAAGTCTAGGCAGAGCTACACTTTGGAAGGTCACCAAGGAATGAAGCCTTGGCAGAACCTATCTTTACAAGAGCTATACTGATCTGGCATCTACACTGCTCCTACTGAATTGATTCCATTGTTTAATAGCTTATCCACTATTTTTGCCTTTTTTTTTCCCCTTTCATATTTACCCATCTCTAGTTACATGCCTTCTTCTACAGGCTGTTCTAGAAAGCTGGTGCAAATCTAACAGTATTCTAGCCTTTCATAAAGCTTATTGTGGAAAATTTTAGAAGTTAAAAATCAATTGACAAATCCCACCCAACTTTCAAAAAAAAAGGGGGGGGGCATTCAATTTGGGTATAAGATGCATGGTCTTCATGTCATATTACATCCTTTCTGCCTCAATGAGCAAGTACTCATGAGCCCTTCCTTATTAACCGTCTTATTTTCATGACTATCAGTCAATTTAAGCCCCCACTCTGGGTGCAGGGTGGCCGTTCACACTTCTGAACAGAGCTCCCCAATGCAGCTGCAGAAGAACAGGACAGCAGCTGCTCCTGCAGGGTTACATGAGCAGCCTAACCAGCAGCCTCCAACTTCATTGATCTGATCTTGATTTGACATACAAACCTCCAAATTGAAAAAGAAAAAACATACCCCCAAAATATCTGAAAACAAGCCGAGATGCTCATCCCAGAATTCAGATGAAGCCCTAACCAGCAGGGCTGTACTACACCTACCTGCATCCCATGGGAAACCACTTCAGGCATTTTTTCTTATATAAAAGGTTGTGTTACCCACAGCTCTGACAGTTTGCTAACATCAGAGCAATGTGCAGTGAGACTGTGGTTACGTTTATTCTTGGCAATGAAACCTGTTCTCCTCCAAATGGAAAGATTTCACCCCTTGCTTGTTCTTTACTGCCCCTTTGCTCAGAATCCCCTAACATTCACTTATTACTTTTTCCAGACCTGTGTTTTGCACTCAGCCTACCTTTTGACACTTTAAAGGCAATAGCTGCCTAAAAACAGCCTTAGGAACCAAATGTTATTATGCCATTTATTTTATTGCCTCTTTTTTTTTTTAAAGTAACAACGGCCATCTCCTCCATTTGCCAGGAACACACACCGGATCATCAGCCATGTCTGGCAGTTTCCCATCATTCCACCTCAAACCCAGTACTTTGCAAAGCAGATGAAGTAAAAGACAAGTTCCTGCCTGCTCCAGATTCATCATTACCCATTATTTCACTTCATTCCCTTCCATCCCACCCAAATCTGCACTGCTCCACCTGCAGAGCCACAGTCAGTCTGACCATCAGCTTCTATTAAGGTGACTGCTAATATACCAGTCCTTTTGGAGGTTTCAAAACAGGATTCATCCATCAGAAAAGATTATGTGGAGCTCAGCAAGACTATGACATGACTAGCTCCTAACTGCTATGCTCCTTCACAGCCCCTTAGGGGAAGCTGTATCAGATCTGTTAGAGCTCAAGCCCCTAACTTGATTCCTAAAGCTTCTGAACTGAAATGTTCCCCAGCTTGGTGATCACGGTCATCAGTCACCCTGGGCTCTAAATAAGCTCAAACTGTGGCTCTTGGGTTGAAGGTGAGGAGTTTGAGATGTGGATGCTCAAGACTTCTCCATTTAGAGAGGCAGGAATTACATTACTGCTTTTGAGGACGGTCTCATTGCAGGCTCATGTTCTACTACTTATCTACAGCAAACTGGCTCAACAGCTTATTGCAGCACGGACAGACAGCATGCTCACAGTCATGATGGGAGGAGAAAGAAAAAAAGGTATATCCACAGTCATTAACATCAAATTCTCCCAGAGAAACCTGAATGAACGTTATCCATTCCACCAGTTCCCCTCCCACAGCTAATGCTCACAGTCTAGGGGCTGCTTTGCCCCTCCTGCCCTTCTCCATGCAGGGCTGTTCTCATTTATTATTTACTTTCCACTCAAAGAATCTTCCAAAATGAGCTAAGATCAATTTTCACTTTTCCCATTGCATTAAATTTCCACATTCCCCTGTTCTCACAGACTACCCTGTTATATATTAATATATAAAATTAGTATTAACAACAGCAGTGCCCCAGGACTGCTACAGAGAGGTGGTGGGTAGCTAAGCTGTGCCAGCAGC